CCAGCGAGAAACTGCTGAATTGGAATTCATTTGCAAATTGGATACTATTAATTTAGGCTTAAATAGAGACTGGGAGTGGCTAAGTCATTATGCAAGGTAGCCTATTTCCCCTTGTTTTTTCCTAAACTCCCCCCCCCAAGACGTTCTGGTTAAACTTGGATTTAAACTTGGAGAATGGTCAGTTTGGATGAGCTATTGCCAGCAGGAGAGTGAGTTTCTGTGTGTGTGTGTGTGTTTCCGGTGTGTGTGTGAGAGAGAGAGAAAAAGCCTGGATTTGTGCTGGAAATGGCCCACCTTGATTACCATGCACATTGTAGGGAGAGTGGTCACTTTGGATAAGCTATTACCAGCAGGAGAGTGAGTTTGTGTGTGTGGTTTTTGGAGGGGGGTGAGAGAACCTGGATTTGTGCAGGAAATGGCCCACCTTGATCATCATACACATTGTGAAGAGAGTGGTCACTTTGGATGGGCTATTACCAGCAGGAGAGTGAGTTTGTGTGTGGGGGGGCGGAGAGTGAGAAAACCTGGATTTGTGCTGGAAATGGCCCAACTTGATGATCACTTTAGATAAGCTATTACCTAAATGGGGTGGGAGGAGGTATTGTTTCATGGTCTCTGTGTGTATATAATGTCTTCTGCAGTTTCCACAGTATGCATCTGATGAAGTGAGCTGTAGCTCACGAAAGCTCATGCTCAAATAAATTGGTTAGTCTCTAAGGTGCCACAAGTACTCCTCTTCTTTTTGCGAATACAGACTAACACGGCTGTTACTCTGAAACCTTTCTAACAACTGTCACACTAAAACCACCTGAAGGTAAAACCACAACAAAACTAAATTGATAGGTGAGAAAGATCCCCAGGTACCCTTGGTTTGAAAATAAGTCAAAGGGGTTTCCCTACTTGACAACTTTTTTCATTTGTTAAACATGATTTTTCCATTTTCCTTTCTTTCTTGCTCAACACTAGCCAACATTCCAATGGGTTATTTATGTCCTTGTTTATCAACATTGATTACTGGTATCAATTGTGTCTAAAAAATTATTGGAATGGGGTTAACCAGTGGAGGTTTCCTAAGATAGGCTTTATCTGCTATTTTTGGAATCTGATACAGCGGCTGAAATTCAGCCCTGGAGTAAGTGGGTGCTGTTGTGACAATTGGGCCTACAAATTTACCCAAAATGTGAGCTCAATGGTAATAAGTATGTATAAATTCATAAAATGTTACAGTACTCTGTAACAACAAAGGTTGATGGATAGAAGTCCAAATGGAAGACAGAATAACTGAATTAGTCTAAATAAAAAGGCCTAGTTGATATGACTCAGGGACTGTTAAAATTACACTTGCTAAAAACAGGATATGTGGAGCCAGAAGTTAATAAGCTAAGATTGGTATGTCAAATATTAGGTCCAACTGGTGGACAAAATAATGAGGGGATAGGCTATTCCACCCTCACTCCCTTTTTGGGGTCCTTAAAAGAAAGATTTTGTGAGGACATATGGAGAGAACAGAGAGAGGCTACTGGAGTGAGTGTCAGTATCACCGTTGCCAACCCCCAGCTTCCTGGGTCCCTAGGTCTTCATCATCTTGATCCTGAGAGGTGTCCAAACCAGAACGGGCCAAAGAGAGAAGCCCAGATGACATTGCCCCCCCTACCATCTACAGCTGAATCCCAAACATCATCTAGGATGATAGTTATTACCATCTTTAATGCCATGTACGAGACTGTCAAACAAGGGGGCTTTTCCTTCTAAGATGAATTGAAAAACAACAGCAGCAGCAGCATCTCCAGCCCATCTCAACTAACTTCTTCTCTTTTCCCCAAAAGGACAGTTATTACCATCTTTTGATACCATCTAAGACACTAACAACAGGGGGTTTCTCCTTTTAAAAACACACTCCTAAAGGGAAAGGGAACAAAAAATACTGTTACAATGAAAGCCTTATTTAATACTTTGCATTTCAAAGGTTTTAATAATTTCATTCTTTTCTGTACCTTTAATACAAGGTTAAAAAGATTTTTAATGGTGTGTTTGCCATGATGCTAAGCAGGCTGAGATCTCTGTATACCAAGCTACAGGCCTTGTATAACTCTGTTTAACATTAGACAATGACTGGGTTTTGTCACCACCTTTAGCTCATTTATTCCATCTAAATTAATACAAGCATGCCACTCTATTGGCTTCCAAAGAGTCGTGCCCTTTTATGGCAGGACTGAATATGGTCCACTATTCTCTCTTCTGATCACTGTAAGTTAACTCTGGGCACACCTTTACACATCAATTTTGCCTACCCTCTTTCAGATATCAGCTTCCTCTAGGTTTAAGTTAACTTGTGTTCCATTTGTTGGTGACTCCTGCAGTAAAACAAAGATACCAGCTCATGCATTAAAAAGGGGGCGGGGGAAGGGGATGGGAGAAAGCAGTTTAGATTCCAGAGGCCATGTCTCACCAAGTTATAACTTTAAGGCATGTCAAATATAGGGATTAAACCAGTGGTGCACAAACAGGGGGGTGCCAGAGGTTCGGGAGGGGAAGAGTTGGGGGCCGGGTGGTGTGAAGAAACTTTAGCCTTTCACCCTTTAAAAAAAAAAAAACCAACAACATATTAATAAAAGCACAGGCTGGCTTATTTTCAACAATTTAAGTTTCATAACTACTGTAGGCCTACTATGCCTTTAAAATTAATTTTGATTCTCTAATTTTAAAACTCATTTAATGATTAATAATTTATATTAAAAGACAAACTGGTAACATATAAAATAATAGTTGAGAGCCTGGGACCTTTCAAGTGAGTTAGACACTAGAACACTAAACTAAATGAATGAACAGTCATCTCTGTTTTTCCCCCTTCACCTTCTGGCATGAAAAATAGTTTCAGCTCACAAGTAATGGAGAAGGGGTATGACAAATTCTATTAATGGTGGGGGGCTGGGACTGGAAAAGTTTGCGCACCACTGGACTAAACCATTCAACAATGAAGATTAGAAAATTGAGTTTTGGGATGGCTCAACAGGAATCAACATTTAAAAGAACTATATTTTCACCAAAGAGTCTATTGTGATACTCTTTGCTTCAAGGGGAAAACTGATTCATGTGGTAATTTACACAGTAACATTTCAGTCTGAAAAACTCTAACAGATGAATGAATACTGAAAAGTGCAACTGGAGAAAGACAAAAGATATGATTTAGTGGTCTGACCATCATGTTTAAATTAACTCCATTCAACTCCACTGAACCTCAGACGCCCCTCATCCTTCTGATGTTCGTAAATTCCCAACAGGATTTAAGAACTAACTCAAACCTCACCATTTTCTGTTTCACATGCAAGGAACACTTCTGTGACCTTGCTTAAATGAACAAATAGCATATCATGCATTTTAAAAAAAAATGCACACAATTTTTCCCCAAGAGAGAGGAGAGAGAGAAAAAAAAACCACAGCTGACAGATACTAGTCATATTACATACTAAAGTTGCTCATGACATGGCTATGGGTACCTGAACAGAATAAATTAAGCTATATATTTTAGTGTGTAATTTTTAGATGACATCTCAAACTACTCTTATGAAATTCTACTCATGTGGAGAATATAATTTTTTTTAATGCACCACCAAGCATCGTGGAAAATGGAAAGGTAATAGATTTTGTACCTTAACTGGTAAGTTTTCATGATAATTTTGACAGGCCGTATATAGTAATCCGAGATTCTACCTACTACAAGCGTCACAGAGTTTTCTATAGCACATTCTTTAAGAATAGGGGGTTTGTTTAATTAATTGTTCTTGGGCAACATTTTCCATCCTATACTTCACTGTTGTATAGAGTACTGGGTGGGCACTGGTTGTCTGCCTGGATACCCCCATTCACCCTAAAGCTAGCTGCATTTCAGCAGTGCTGTATGCATATATTCTAGAAAATGCTACAGAATGCTTTAATATGAAAGCCTTACGTAAAATATTACTGAAGTCTTCTACAGGTCTCTTAAAGTAAAAATTCACACACATGCACTGTGGAGCCTTCTGGTTTGCTCCTACACTTCAGATACCATGGCTCTGAAATAGCTGTGACACAAACAAGCAGTTTGAAAACCTTTGACAGCAAGCAAACATACATATGAAGTGTCACATTTTCCTTCAAGGAAGTCTCTCTGATACCATCTCAGCCTGCTATGAAACCACAAGCTGAGTATCTCAGAATGAAGGGATTCTTTCATAAAGCGAAGAATCAAACACCTGTGAACCCCAGTAACTGTCATGTGACTTATTCTATTACTTTCTTCCCAAGGAGTACCAGGAGGAGGAGGGGAAAATCAGGATCTAAAGCAGTCCCACATAATGCTCAAGGTTTTAAACACAGTTTCATGACCTGAGAATTAATTCCTCACAAAAAGTTACTAACAACTTTTCAAAGAGCTCCCACCTGGCACTCTTCAAAGTCTGTGACACAAATAAGTCTTCATACAAAGGCCAAGAACCAGATTCTCCACACCCCATTCAGAGCACTGCTTCCCACACCAGTTGCCTGGTAGGAGCCAAACATGGGAGGAAAACAACACTACCACTGCAGAATTCTGTTAAGCAAACTCGATTTAAAGAAAAGAGGGTTTATAGCAGATTCATATCCATTCCCAAGGGGGTGCTATGAACTCCATGCCAGAGAAAACACTTCCCGAAGACGGATCTCTCACACCCATCCCACATTCAATACCCCTCGTTTGTGTCGGTTTAAGTTTTGTTAAAAATTAGACCACCTTTGGAACCGCGCCAGGTGCATCTGTCGGCCATCCGCCCTCGCCATCTGTCTCCCCGGCGGAGCGGTGCAAGAGAAAGAAACGGCCACCCCATTTCTGGAGAAGGGAAACCCCCCCGTGGGCATCCTCCCCTAACTCCGGGAGCGAGTGGCAAAGAGCAGGGGCACCCTATCCCGCCGGGGGCCACGCACACATCCCACCCACTCACCTGGGAGCCAGACAGAGAGCAAGGAAAGCCCCCCCCACTCACCTGGAGGGAGAAGAGAAGACCCACTGCCCCCCAGGGGTCCGCCTCTGCAGGGCGGGGAGCTGTCACTGCTTCCGCCCTCGGCCCCAGCCCCACTGCAGCCTCCTGCTCCCCGAGGACAGGGCCGCGGCCCCGGGTGGAGAAGACAAGGGGGCTAGTCACAGGCGGCGACGGCGGCGGCCCCTGGGGGATGAGGGCACTGGGCGGCTCTCACCCGCCCCCATAGCCCGGCTCCTGAGCTACGGGGCGAGAGCATCACTCACCTCCCCTGCACCCCACCGCTCCCAACACCCACCGCAGCCGCCATGTTTGTTGTGAGTATCTCCCGTAGTAGTCGCCCCGCCCGCCCCGTTCCTCCCACCTCGCGAGACTGGCGAGCCCCGCGCAGGCGCAGTCCGCGCGCGGTGGCCGTGGCGCTGGACGGCCGCTGCTGCGAGCCCGAGCGGCGGAGGGGCTCGCTGGGTTCGCCGCCGGCGAAGGGGAGTCGGCAGCAGCGAACATGGCGGCGGCGGCGCTGTGGCGGAGCTGCGCGAAGGTGACTCGTGAACCTGAAGGGGTCGGGCTGCCTCTGCCCCGCTCTACTCGCGGGCCGGGAGCCCCCTTCTCCAAGGAGGCGCTGCGGGGTGCCGGGTCCGCCCGGAGAGCGGAGGCCCCGCCCCTCTGCCCCGAGCCTGGCCGCGCCCGGAGCGGGGTTGTCAACTTTCTACAGGCACAAAACCCGAACGCTGTGGCCCCGCCCCTTCCCTGAGACCACGCCCCTTCCTGTGGGGGGCCCCTCTCACTTTCACTGGCTCGGGGGCTGGGGTGCAGGAGAGGCTGAGGGCTCTAAGTGGGGGTGCGGGCTCTGGGGTGGGGCCAGAAATGAGGGGTTCGGGGGGTGGGAGGGGACTCCGGGCTAGGGCAGGGGGTTGGGGCGCGGGGGGAGGGGAGTGAGGGCTCCGGCTGGGGGTGCGGGCTCTGGGCTGGGACTGGGGATGAGGGGTTTGGGGCACTGGAGGGGACTCCAAACTGGGGGGTGGGGCTGAGGGATTCGCAGTGCGGGAGGGGGCTGTGGCTTGAGGCACGGGGTTGAGGTGTGGGAGGGGGTGAGGGGTTAAGGGTGCTGGAGGGGGCTCTAAACTGGGGGGTGGGGCTGAGGAATTTGGAGTGCGGAAGGGGCCTGCGGGTTGAGGCAGGGGGTTGGGGTGTGGGAGGTGGTATTGTCTCTGGGGTGAGGTGTGGGCTCTGGGGTGGGGTCAGGGATGAGGGGTTTGGGATGTCAGAGGGGGCTCCAGGCTGGGGGATGGGATCAAGGGATTCGGAGTGCGAGAGGGGGTTGGGGTGCAGGAGGGGGCGAGGGCTCTGGGGTGGGGCTGGGGATGAGGGGTTCAGGGTGCGGGAGGGGGCTCTGGGCTGGGGCAGGAGGTGAGGACTCTGGGCTGGCGGTGCAGGAGGGGGGTCTGGGTTTGGAGGTGCTCAGGGTTGGAGGTTGGGATGCAGGAGGAGGTGCAGGCTCTGGGGTGGGGCTGGGGGTGAGGTGATTGGGCTGTAAGAGGGGCCTCCAGGTTTTGCGGGGGCCTCAGAGTTGAGGCAGGGGTTGGGGCGTGGACTTACTTTGGGAGGCTCCCAATCAGTGGGGCTAAGGCAGGTTGCCTGCCTATCTTGGGGCACCATGCTGTGCCCCAGAAGTGGCCAGAAGGTCCAGCTCCTAGGTGGGGGCAGGAGGCTCTGTGAGGCACGCTGTTCTCACCCGCAGGCACCGCCCCCCCCGCTCCCATTTGCCGAGAACCGGCCAATAGGAGTGCAGAGCCGGTGCTTGGGGCGGGGGCAGTGCATGGAGCCTTGTGGCCTTTCCGCCTAGGAGTCGGACCTGCTGGCCACTTCCGGGGCACAGCGTGATGCCCCAGGACAGGTAGGGACTAGCCTGCCTTTTCTCCGCAGCACTGCCGACTAGACTTTTAATGACCGGTTGGCGGTGCTGACCGGAGCCACCAGGGTCGCTTTTCCACCGGGTGTTCCAGTCGAAAATCAGACAACTGGTCACCCTAGCCTGGAGCCCCTCATGCCCCCCTGCCCAAACACGTCTGCTCCCGGCGCCCCTGCCCCGACACACACACACACACACACACACACACACACACACACACACACACACACACACACACACACACACACACACACACACACACACACACACACACACACACACACACACACACACACACACACACACACACACACACACACACACACACACACACACACACACACGGGTTCTGAGCCTGTCTGCCTCCCTCCTCCAGACCCAGGCCATTTTCAAAAGATAAAGATTCCAAAAATGGCCATTTTCGAAGGCAAAAGCAAACCTTTGGAGCACCTATTGTTCTGTGAACTTGTTAAACTAAATATCTTCCACTCAGACCTCTGTAGGTCCTCACCTCCAGGCTGCATCTAAATCTTGCTGATTCTTTCTGCATAACATTACTATAATTTGGCTTTTTCTACCCATCCACAGACCTAAAACTCTCAGCCAAGCTATTATCATCTTGTATCTCAATTACTTCAATAATCTTCTCACTGGCTTTGACAACTGCAGTCTTGCCTCGCTCATATCCATTCAGAATGTGACTGCAAAGGTCATTTTCTTATCTTGTCACCCCATTCTTTCCATCCTTCTATTGTCTGCCCCTTCTCTAGTTAATGTTATAAAATAAAATTATTGGACTTTTTGATATGTGTTGAACTTAAGTTTCTCAATTTGGAACAAATATTTTGAAGAAGACATTTAAATTATTTTTTTTGCTTCATTTTTTCATGCAGCTTTATTAATGGTTAAAGCGTTTAACTTTCAGTCCTGCTAATAAAGTGAGCCTGAAACACACATAGTATGCTATCATTAATCTAGTGTTCCATAGCAACATTAATAAGTAAATAAATATTTATATGTTATGGGCATCCTCAAACATTCTTCAGATTTTAATAAATCCATCAAAATTTGAAACTGAAATCTGTTGTTATCCAAAAGAAATGTTGTTAGAATGTTGCAGCTATTTAAAAAAAAAAAAAATCTTTGAATGCTGAAGAATTCATATTTCTCCAAATAGCCTTAACTAATTTATGCTGTAATTATCTCCCATGCTCTACTTACCCGCCAACAATTTTGCATCCATCTATGATGCTGTCAAAATACCATATCTTATGCACACTTTCTATATGGACTACAATCCTTTAACTACCATACTGTAAATGTAAGCCTACAAACTACCTCACAACCATGATATAGGCTGTATGCACAACCCATTCTTTGCTTCAGTTAGATCACCACTGGCCTCTGATGTGACTTGAGTGCAGTGTAGGTGGTTGGCAAGTGAGTGTGGAGTCAGAGATAAGAATATTTGCAGAACCTTTACTGTGAATTTCCTAATTTCAGCTCTTTGTGCTGTATCGCTTTTTGACATTTAAAAATAATCAGTCCGTTAAGGCTTATTACCAGTTGGCAGTCTGCTGCTTATCGTCATTTTCATTACACTAACTCTGGGATTTAAAGTAATTAAGTAGAAACATGTTTTTATATAATTGCATCTTTTCTGAAGTGCGTACTCACTCTTAAAGTTATAAAATGTTAGATTACAGTTTATTTTGACAAGTTCCTCTATGCTATCACAGTTGTGCCGTAAGTTGTAAAATTATTTTAGCCACATGTTTAATAATATGCATTGTAGCTGAATGATTTGGATGCTGGGGCTGCATAACAGTTAGGAACAAGAACAAAAATAAAAACGCATTCAAGCTTTAATAAAAATAGAGTATTTGTACAACAGTCCATGTAGTTGCTAGCATTACTAGTTGATTGGTCTCAAGGCAGACCCACTGAAAACAGTGAATAGGACTATTATTGTAAAGAAGCTTTTAGAATTTAATACAATTATGTTTTGATTGGAGATAAAATTTGTTAAAATGTACAGCTATTAACGTGAACATTCCAGAAAGCTTCTAATATTAGCAGTACTGAAAACAGATTCTAGCTGGTAGCTGCAATTCTCAAAACTATTCACATTTTAAAAACATTAATATTTTTGAATCCTTGTCAAAATAACAATATGTTTACCAAGGTATAGAAAACTGACAGGAAGAAAATAGTTTGTAGGACTGATAGACACAGGTTGAAAGGAAATTAAATTGGTCGAGCCCCTTTGTTGCAAGTGCTCAAAAACTTGAAATTAGTATAATTGAAAATAATTAATTATGTGTAATTGTATTTCTTTTTCAGTTACTGAATAGAGAATAAAAACATTGGGTGAAAATTTATATTCCTGTTTATAAATACTTGAACAATGTTTTCTGTGCATCAAAATCAGTTTTTATAACTTTCTTTATTATTATTTGTCAACAGCTAAGAAGAAACATGCCAATCTACTTGGCTTCTTGGAAGGCTCCTCCTAGTGTCTGTAAATCATCCAAATCAGAAGCTATGGCAAACCTAGCCAATGAGCGGGTAGTGTGTGCTCCCCTTGACACACTTACAGAAGAAGAGATGATGATGAAAGAAATGGGTAACTTGCTGTTCAAACTCTTAACATGGAGCCACTGGATGCATGTTAGTCCCTTAACTGTCCGTGATCATCTCATCCCCCATCTCTCTATCCAAAACAGCCTGAGTCTCTCTTGACAGCCCTCCTTCCTGTGGAACGGCAGGGCTAAGCAGTGGCGCCACACACTGAGGACTAGGCAGAGCGTGCAGGAAGAGTGCAGGGATCACTATGGAGTCATTGGGGCTTGTTTTCAAAGAGGGACAGAAATGGGGGCAATGGTTGATGGGGGCTTGAGGGCAGAGCGAAAGCCTCCCCCAAGTTGTGATATGGAGACCTATCCACTAGGAATTGGATCAAAATAGTTGTAACTGGGCCATGGCCTGATCAGCTAGAGAGAGTAAATAGAAGAACTAGATTAAGCAAAAAACCTTTTTCCAGTTTATCATTTACAGGGTTCTTGTTCGACCAAAATAATACACTCCAGCAAGGTGTCTGGCCACATTCGCTGAAAGCATTTTTAAGTCTGTAACCTCTTAAAAAACAAAAAAAAACCCCTAATATAAATATCAAACAAACTAAACAGGAGAGCTCTTATGTCTCCAGGGTTTCTGACCTGACTTTTGGTCAGCAAAGTGCTCTCATATGAGAACTCTCAGAAATTTAAAAAGGGTCTGAGCTGTAAATAGGTAGTGCCCACTTATATCAGCACAGGGACTTGCATCTAGCTGAAACTGTTAAACCTCTTAACCCAGAACACCCATATTGCTCTCTGGAGCACTTGATCTTCCTTCCTGGGACACCACTGGGTTAGGGTGTTGCATATCTTTGGGATCTCCCTGCATTAGGCACTGAATGGTACATATGCCTTGTTACAAATACTAAATTGCTGACTCAGATATTATTTAAAGAATTGGCTAGAATACTTACATCCTTTCTTTTTCTTCATTATAGTGAAAAAATTTGCTCAAGACCAAATTGCACCTTTGGTAAAAGCAATGGATGCAAATGCAGAAATGGATGAATCTGTACTGCAAGGACTATTTGAACAAGGGGTCTGCATATTTTATTATTTTAATTCAAGGGTTACATTGTTATTAAATGTTACTGCCAGTTGTGCAACTTTTTTTTTGTTTTAGATTAAGTCGTTTGAATGAATGTTACCTTTTCTGTTTTCAACCCTAAATCGATGTTTAGTGAGAAATTACAGTTAGAAAAGTTAAAATGTTGTGTTTCATTCTGACATTTAAATTCTGACATAACTATATCAGAGTAGTCATGGTGATGAATCGCATACGTGTTGATAGCTCTGTATTTTGTTTTTTGTATGAGTAAATAACCCTATCTTGACCCCACTGCAGTGACTATTAGCTGGTTAATTTATTGCAGGCATTGCAGAGGGATCTGAAGAGATTTTACATTCTCTGACTTGCACAAAAGTATTTTAATTGCTTCTTACCTCTGAAGTAATTTTTTTTCCAGTAGTGAAAATATTTGAAAATCTTGTCAGCCTAAATTACTGTCTGTGATGATCTCCCCAGAACAGTTGTATTTCATTCTCTCCCTTTTAGCTAATGAGTATTGAGCTTGGACCAGAGTATGGAGGAACTGGATCTTCATTTTTTTCTACCATACTGGTGGTAGAGGAATTGGCCAAGGTTGACCCAGCTGTAGCTCTTCTGTGTGAACTCCAGAACACAGTTACGAATAAATTGTTTATTACATATGGAACAGAAGAACAAAAGAGAACTTATTTGCCCAGATTGGCTAAAGATTTGGTGAGTTAAGTATGTCCTTTATGAAATAACATAAAATTTTATATGATTTCATAATGTTAGTGTCCATTTAGAGAATTAAATGATGCATTACATTTTAAGGCAATATCGTCATATGCAAACATTGGAATTCTATTTGAGACCTGAAATCTGTCATTCCATGTACACAGATATATCCCCTTCATCTGGAGGGTGAAGGGGAAAATCGAAAAGTCTGTTGCACGTTTTTCAGAAATTTGGGGCTGATTCTGCAGTCCTTTTGCACACAACTCCCATGGGCTTCAATTGGAGTTACATATATGTAAAAAATAGAGGATTGCATTTTTAGTAGTTTCTCCTGAACCAAACTTTTCCAGGAGATTTTTACCCTATTCTGTCTTTCTTACAGCAATTTGTACTGTTCCTTGATGTGAATTTAACAATAAACAAGGTTTTTATTTTAAAAAAAAAAAGAGGCACAGTGTTTATCACTGGTGAATTGGGTGGGGGAAAGGAATGATTATTATGTGTACATTAACATCAGCAAAGCAAAAAAGGTTGTTCTATATGGAATCATTATGAATACTCCTAAATATATATATATTTTTTATTAGGAATCCTAAATAGAGTTTGATAAGAATCTTGACTTGCTGTGGAGAAGAACTTAAAAGCAGTGGACTTGAGGGATATGTATCCATGTAATCACTCAGAAATACACTGTAATATGCAGAAAGCAATACTGTGGTGCTATAGAATAGTAGGAGCCCAGATAAATGTCTCTGTGAATGTAGTGAGTTGTGGTGCATACTCATGCTGTTCTTGCAACTCGGGAGTACCAAAATTAAATCTGAATGCAGCTCATGTAAGATTGGGTTGTGACAACACATCGAGGTCAGTTTGACAGTATTCTAACATCAAGACGTCAGGCAGAAATGTGAGATTTTTCCGCTTGTTTGTTAGAAAAAGGTATTTAGAATATTAGACTTTTTCAAGTATGTAAATCATGTTATTTACAGTATTGCATAAATGTTCTAGTGCTTAGGACCTAGATTCTATAACCTGTACTTGTATTTAGTATCTTACTCTGTTACCCATAGATTTCAGTGGGACAAATTGTAAGGAACTACTCAGCATGAGTTACAGAAATTGGTATCAGTCTGTAATCTGCCCTCTCTCCTTAACTGAGGTCCCAGAACAGTTGCCATACTCTGGGTTTTTTTTTCTTTTTGGCAGAACACATCATTCCGGCAGAACCACTAAGACAGCTTACTTGGTAGGTCAAACCCTGAAATACAGTTAGCTAGTTAGTACTAGGGCTGTTGATTAATTGCAGTTAACTCACGCGATTAGCTCAAAAAAATTAACTGCGATTAAAAAAAATTAATTGTGATTAATAGCTTTGGTAAACAGTAGAATACCAATTGAAATTTATTAAACAGTGCTCACTTTATATTATTATTTTTTATTACAAATATTTGCACTGTAAGAATGATTTTAAAAATAGTATTTTTCAATTCACCTCATACAAGTGCTGTAATGCAGTCTCTCTTTATCGTGAAAGTGTAAACCTTTTTTTTGTTATATAACTGCACTCAAAAACACAACCGTCTAAAACTTTAGAGCCTACAAGTCTACTCAGTCCTATTCCTTGTTCAGCCAATTGCTAAGACAGACAAGTTTGTTTACATTTATGGGAGATACTGCTGACTGCTTCTTATTTACAGTGTCACCTGAAAGTGAGAATGGGAATTCGCATGGCACTTTTGTCGCCAGCGTTGCAAGGTATTTACGTGCCAGATATGCTAGACATTCATATGCCCCTTCATGCTTCAGCCACCATTCCAGAGGACATGCTTTTATCCAAGGATCAGTACTATACCTTAATCCTCACAAAACCTTATAAGGTAGTAAGTAAGTCTGGGAGAGCAGGGAAGATGTTGCAAAAGTCATGACTTCGTTCTCCCTAGCTCTAACCTCTAGACAACCATGTCTTCACACCTATAAACCTAACTGATACTACCCGCAATATGTAGGTTAAGATGGTTGAAATATTTAACAACTTTATACTTTTTTTCCTTTCAAGTCTTATATTAATGTTGCATGCTATGCATATATTTTAAATAAAACCTATAATGTAGTTTTCCCTTCAATTGATAGACAGGCAGTTTCTGCCTTTCTGAGGTTGGATCTGGCAGTGATGCATTTTCTTTGAAGACTCATGCTGATAAGAAGGGAGACTACTATATTATCAATGGCTCAAAGATGTGGATAAGCTTTGCAGAACAGGCAGGAGTGTTTTTCGTGTTGGCAAATGCAAATACTTCTTTGGTAAGTTGCTAAGGAACAGTTGTGGCTATTTCCTGTGGCTGTTGATAATATGATACTGATGTAATGTGGTGTAAATTCTTTGCATCTTGCTCCCACTAAAAACTGATTTTTAAAAATTAGTCATATTTTCCCTGAATCATCTATATGAGAAAAATGGAGAACCTGGTGAGTATTTTAAAAAATTTCTTCACACACCTGGGAAAATAAAAATGTCAAAACAGTAACTGCTCAAATGAGGGACCAGCAAATATTGACATATCATGTGTCATCAAAGAATAGACATTCTGAATCTTAATGGCACTTCTGTTGTCTTATCTTTTAATGGTTTGGTATTGGCAGGATACTGTGATTAAAAGTGCAATAGAACTAGGCCTATATGCAGTGGAAAGGAAAAGTTAGTACAATATTAAAACATGCCCATGTGACAAAGCACGTTTGAAAAGAGACATGCCATGTTTTTTCATTTATCAGTTTAGGTATAAGTAAGGTAAAGATAAAAAATCCTAAACTGCATAGTTTAAAATGTAAAAACATTTCCACTAGTTAACTGAAAAAGATGGTGCAATTGAAAGGTGAAAACTGAGGAGCTGCAAAACTAAATTATAAGAAAAGGTGTTTTGTTTATTTATTAGCATTGTTTTGGAGTGACCCATTTAAAAAAAAAAAAGCCTAACTTGAAAATATTTATAAAACGTAGTTATTGAAGTTTATGTTTCAACTGATCAAAAGGGTCTTTTAGTTCCATCAGTGAAGAGCTGACTTTTTAGTTGAAAATCATGTCATTTCCAATCCAGGTCTGTATTTATTGATTGATTCTGTTTATTTATTTATTTTATTTCTTCATTCGTAAATAGGTAGACAACCTAAATTAAGAAAAAGTTCCACAATATTAGATACACTGAAGTTCAACTAAGTCTATTTTTAATCTCCTCCATGAACACTGAAATTTAGAGGCAAGTTATTAATTCAAGGAAGCAATGTGTTTCTTTGTCAACAAACAGACAATTTCAAACTATAAATTGAAGTGCAGTAGTTAATGAATGGGATAACTCTCACATGAACACAAAATATAATTTCAGTTAAATGCCATTTGTGTGCAGCTGCCATTAGTGTAAATGGGAATTACATATGTGCTATGTGAGAATAGATCAATATAGGATTATATACTGAAAAATCATATAGCCTGTATTTTACACAAAGCTTATAAATATTGCAGCCAGTAATTATGCTAAGAGAATATTAAGGTTGCAAAGTGAAGTAGCCAAAAATTAGCAAATTCCAGAATTAAGGTTGCTTATGCAATCCATGTATATTGTCCCATGCCTTATTTACTGCACACTATTAAAACTGTGATCTGAATACAAAATTAATTTCCTCTTGGACTTTTCTATGATACTGTAGCAATTGAGTGCTTCACTAATGTTAACTAATTTATTTTCCCAATTCCACTGTGCTGTGAGGTAGTAGTATTACCCCCATTTTATAGATGGGGAACTGAAGCACAGAGTGACTAAGGTCAAAAGTGTCCACTAATTTTGGGTGCCCCAATTTGAGTCACCTAGGACCTGATTTTTTCAGAATACTTGGTATTTTATATAGCCCTTTAAATGTTCAAAACACAGTTTCTAGTAACTTCAGTTGCAGATGTGAGTGCTCAGCTCCGGGGGTCTTATTTTGACATTCATAAAATGAGGAATACACAATTTAGTGGACGTCTGTGCAAAGTTTAGTTTGTGATTTGCCTTGCATCACATAGAAACTCTGTGATAGAGGTAGGGTTAGAAACCAATTCTCCAGGATAGTGCTCAGCTGCCTTAACCATGAGACCACACTTTCTCTTCTTCCAACCCCCTGCATTCAGTACACACCTTTCAGCTTCTGCAACAAACGAAGCAGGTATCCTACAGACCACTCTCTTTCACTGCACAGTCCTGATTTATCCCATGCCAAGTCCATTCTGCATACTGAAAAAGTTAGGTGTGTGCTGTTGAAAAAATAGTATTAACGGGCAATCCTAATTTGAGTTTATCCTAACTTTTGATTGCTTTCTTTAAAAAAAACTAGGAAATTATAAATGTCAAGGTTGCAAACTGAAAAATAGGAATTCCCTCATATGGAATTATACTGACCTCTGTGTGCATCATCCACAGTGTTGAAACCTTTAGATCCTCTTCATAGACCTGCTTGAGCTAACTTGGTAACTGATAACAGTCGTAGCTTGTCATCCTTTACGGGGACTAGCCATTAGAGGTGGATGAGAGAAACACTTTGTCATTGGGTTTCACAAATAGTCGCTGACAGCAGAGGAATCTTAGGTTCGTTTCTAGGTTCTCCTGGGGTGTGCTCTAAGTGGTCATACTCTTCTGTCCCTCTTTCTGCATCCACAAGACCTGACCCATTCTGCCTTTGTCCCCTCAGACAGACTGTCTCTATGATAGTCCTGCTTCTCGCCACTTCCAACTCTATATACCAGTCTCTGCCTTTTCTCTGGCTCCTTGTCCCAGTCTGTTTCCTTGCCTAATCAATCACAGTCTCCACTCCCTTACCCAGGCTTCTAATCCAATTCCAGTCTTTTTGCCTAGCCAGTCTAAGTGGATAAAGCACAATTGGGTGACCTTGTTTTTGCTGATGGCATTTTCCTGCTTAGTTTGACACATTATTTAATAGAAAAAAAATCCAGCTTTTGGCAGACACAGCAAAACACGTTGGTTTGTTGATAAACAAGGGGAGGACAATATATGGCTATTGGTGTCCCAAAAGCAACCATTAGCGTAGACTCAGAAACACTAGGAAGAAATAATTTTACCTGTTTAAGGAGTCAGACGTGCAGTGATGGTGACACCATGCTACATGTCAAGCAATAAATATAAAAAACAGCAAACAGCTTTCATAAGCTTGAAAAGATTTGAAATAGTAGTATGATTGCCGCTCATATGAAAATATGGATTTTTAACACCAGCATCATGTCTGTCCTCCTTTATGGAGCAGAGTCATGGAAATCTACAACAGAAATTGTAAGAAGATCAACTCATTCCAAAGTAAATGCCTGTGGAATGTCTTCAAAGTCCATTGGAAAAAAGTTTCTTGCAACATCAGAAATTCTATGTAGAGCAAACCAACCTAAAGCATCAAACATGATAAGAAGACAATGATGGACATATTTAGGGCACGCTATTAATGATGCCACCAACATGACTTCCACGTCAAGAGATAACATGGACACCAGCTGGGAAGAGGAAAAAAAAGGGTGACCTAAGGAAACATAATGCAGAGCAATAAAGAAAGAAGCTAAATCCGTCAACAGGACTCAGAAGCCTGCACAGAGCACAAGACCTAAATAAATGGTGGAAACTGGGTGGATGCCCTATGCACCTGAGGATGTGTGGCGGATAAAGAGAAAAGAAATCTAAATCTTTCCCTCTGGTCTCCTTGTCTAAGGCCAAGTCTTCCCTCCACCATCCAATCTCTCCCGTCACACTCTCTCCCAGGCTCCTTACCATCTCAGTCCCCACAATGCCTCTCTGCTCCAGTCTCCCCAGGCTCTTAATGCAATCTCAGTCTGTATCCCACCGATCCCACTCTCTTTGCTAGACAGTCCCATTATTTTTCAGTCCCAGTCTTCCTCTCTGTCGCTTCCGCCCCGCCCTTCAGGCCTGATTCCTCATTCTACTGCATTCCAGCCAGGCTGATTCCTCCATCTCCACACTGCCTGGGCTGCAGCAGGACAAGCACTGAGAGCACAAAAGAGATGTTTTTCCTGCTCTCCTTCCCTGTGTCCACTGTCACAGCAGCACCTGGCAGATGGGAGGAGCAAGTGCAATCTGGGAATGAAGCATCCTCAGTGGGGGTGGAATCTTTAGAGAATTTAGGTGCCAAACTAACAAATCTGTACTGAACATGTGTGAACTGAGATCTTTCAAAGGCTTATAATTTGGGCAGTTTTTCATGGGAACAAGAAAAGCTACTGCCATGCTAAATTTGAAATCCCTGCACCAAAGCCTGGAGGCTTAGGGAGTCTCAATGAAGTGGTGCTAAGAAGTATTTTACCGGGGGGAAATGTATTTTCTCTAATCTTGAAAATGGCTGAAACATGTTTGCTGAAATTCCACTGCTTCCCTCTACCCCCATGAGGTTAACAGCCAGCATGGAAAATTTTAGCCTGAACAGTTAAAGTTTGGCAAAGCTGTTATAAACAGTTGAAAAGAGGGTCTTCTAAAGGGATGTGTCCGAAAACCTTAATTATTAGCACCACTACCATCTCCACATATAATAAGTCTCATGACTCACCTAGATGCTTTAGATGTAATACTAAAAAAGGCATACTAACTTTTTTTTGTTTTCTAGAAAACTCTGAATATGTTGGGTTCAAGTATTTAAGGTAACTTCTGTGTTAGGAAATACATGTTTAACCAGATTTAGAAATGGCATAAAATACCAGACATACTAGTAAGAGCTATCAGTAATAATAAATTGATAAATTATCAAATTCAATACTTCAGACTTTTTGTAGTGGATTTTATCAGTATGAAGAAGATGTAAACAAATCAGTGGACCCGGGGATTGGAGAATGACATAAATTAAACAATGTTACATAATATGAAATAGAAAATAACATTACAGAAATTGGGAAATATCTTTCAATGATGTTGCAGGAACGCTATTTACAAATGAACACTGAAAAAACTCAAGAACCTAGTTACATATTTTTTTTCTCTTTTACAGTCTTGATTAATATTAATTTTTGATCATTGTGATTAATATTAAATAAGCATTATGTGACAATAGACATCTATTTTTTAATCCTGTTTCTGTGAAAGAAACCTTTAAATTATTTACATTTTAAAATTAACATAGAGAAGTAAAAATTAAACCATTATGGAAGGATATAGTTATTAACTTAGACTTCAAGTTAATATTCAACTAGATGCTCCCCTCTATTTAGTCTTAGGGGAATTCTGCACAAAAAAATTAAAAATTCTATGCATGATATTTTAAAATTCTGCATATTTTATGTCAAAATAACACAGTATAATCACATCAGTTTCAATTAGTTTGGTAATTTATTTCAAAATACCTGTCAGCAAGTATGTCTGTAATAATATAGACGACAAAAATTCAGAATTTTTTTTTTTTTGACAAATTGATTCCTTACTAGGCAAATTAATACAGAACTTTGAGTAATTCATTTAAACTACAATACAGAAACGTATTTCCCGCATCCCTCAGAAGCAATGCAAAGGCTTGGGGGAGTCCTGGCTAACGGAGAAGCTGAGGGAGAGGGAAGGAGCCTGGGAGTGAACCTGGAGGATTGTTGCATGTGAGTGGCAGAAGTATGGAACAGTGTTTGGGGGGAGGGATAGGGAGTTGGGGAGCCTCCACCATGCAGGCCCTGACTGACCCCTAGCCTCTCCCATTCAGTCAGGCACATTTGCTCCCATGCCCGTGTGGCCCTGCACCCCTTCCCATTCAGCACCTGGCTCAATGCTGTCACCCCACTAGTTCCTGAGTCCTGCCCTAGTCTGCCCCCCCCCCAACTAGCCCTTCTGAACCCCAGTCCATGACCCCCCAGCAAGTTCCCTGTGTGCCCCACTCTGTCTGTCCTCTGCCCAGATCCCATGCCTCCTAACCTGGCTCTACAGGCCGGATGCTGTGATGAACGGGGGGAGGGATAGCTCAGTGGTTTGAGCATTGGCCTGCTAAACCCAGGGTTGTGAGTTCAATCCTTGAGGGGGCCATTTGGGATCTGGGGCGAAAATTGGGGGTTGGTCCTGCTTTGAGCAGGGGGTTGGACTAGATGACCTCCTGAGGTCCCTTCCAACCCTGGTATTCTATGATTCTGTATGATTCTAACGCAGCAGGCTGCAGGGTGTTACTGCTGGCCAGCCGCTGCTGTATGTTCTGGCATCACAGCAGTCTCTGGTGGGCAAAAAGCAGAACTGCAGCACTTCTTGGGCAGGAAAAAAAATTTCTGCGCTGGACATGAATTCTTCATGTGCGCAGTGGCACAGAATTCTCCCAGGAGTAAGACTCTATTTTACAGCATAGAAGGAGAAAATTGTACGTGAAAATGGGCAAAAGAATGGTGCCTAACACCATGTACATCCCCAACTGTCATATACATAATAGCTGTCTGCAGCCTCACCACATGAATGCCTCCTATTAAGGCTTGTGAAGGTGCTAAACTCCCCTGGTCCCTCTAATATCAATGGAAATTGATGGTACTTCAAAGGATCAGGCCTTTGGGGCTCTGCTGAAATTGGGTTCTGGTTGCTGGAAATGGGGTGAAGCGCAGGACACAGCCACTCTGAAAATCCTGATTTCATGGGAAAGGCCTCAGGATTTCTCTGGTAAGATGGTGTGATGCTTCAGAGAGCAATGCTAATTCTTCCACCTCTGAGTAGAAGTAGGCGGTTTTAGTAGGAGAGCCAATGGGAGCACAGCGCAAAAACAGGATTTGCTGTCGGGTAAAGTGAGCTCAAAGGAGCGCAGAGCAGGAACTTCAGTTGCATGAGGCCTGCAGGATTGGGCCAGAATTTCCAACTGCTTTGCATTCTATATAGGTATTACAGACCCTATCCTTCCCCCTTTATTTGAAGCTCTTTCTCCTCACCATATGGTTGATATGGCCAAGAGAGCCACTCAGACTGTTCTAAATGTGCTTTTTTCTCTATTATTTTTTCTACAGAAAGAGATGACTTAGCCTTTGTTAAATTTTTGCAATTGCAAAAGATATAGCTGGGGAAAATAAAATAGATGATGGTTCCACATTTTGTACATTAATATAGTATTTAATAGGTTTATACTGCAATATAGAAATCAAATATTCAAAGCCCATTTGGTTTTATCTTAAAAGTCAGTTCTTTGTTTTTTATTCATTGCTTAGGGATACAAGGGAATTACATGCTTCATAGTAGATCGTGGCACAGAGGGCCTACATGTAGAGAAAAAGGAAGATAAACTGGGAATCAGAGCAACTTCTACGTGCCCCGTAACGTTTGAAAATGTTAAGGTACAGTAAGTGTTCTGGAGGTTTAGGCGGAAATTTAGTAACCTTGTTAAGTGTAACTTGCATACATCTTGAGTATGATACAGGATTAGGAAAGAAGATTTGGTAAGCACTTGATTTTCACAGATGCTAAATTTTTGGGGGTAGCTGTGGCTGCCCGGCATCCCTGAAAATCAGGACTTAAGGGACTTAGATTACTCACTTGGCACCTCAGTGATACAGGTTTTCATTAGTGGTCCAATTCTGAGTAATTTTCTCTGTCATCCTTCTTATAATCCTGTGTGTGTTGGGGAGGGTTAACAAAAGTATTATGGGAATCGGGTGCCCATTTTATATTGCTGCCTTCAGTTATGAGACATGTTAAATAAAACATTCACGCTGATTCAGCTGTGAGCGGTACTAGCAGTTACAGAACAGAAAAGAAAAAATAATTGAGTGGTTTTATTCTTTAGGTTCCTAAGACCAATATCCTGGGACAGCTTGGACAAGGCTATAAGTATGCAATTGGAATGCTAAATGTGGGCAGAATAGGTATTGCTGCACAGGTGAGTAACATTGTTTAATATTTAATGTGATAATTCTGTAGTTTGAATTTGGATTGAAACATTTAAAATATTATAAGAAAGAGGTTGGTAAGGGAAAATTAAGAAAATACCTTATGAAAAGAATCCGTGTTGCCACTAGATGTCACTCTTCTTTTTTGTAAGATGAAATAATGTTTGGTATAGGACTATACATTACACTGATTATTGTACATAGTATTGCTTTTAATAATGCAAAATTCTGTTTCCATTGTAATAGTCTATGTTGAGAACAAACAGCAGTTAATCTCCAATGCTTAATTTATTAATTTTCAAATATATCTAAAATGTCATCATCATTAGAGAGACAAGGTGGGTGAGATAATATCTTTTATAGGACCAAGTTCTGTTGCTGAGTGAGACAAGCTTTCAAGCTACACAGAGCTCTTCTTCAGGTCTGGGAAAGGTACTCAGAGTGTCACAGCTAAATACAAGATCAAACAGATAGTTTAGCGTAAGTAGTTAGCACATCCAGTGTGAAAGATGCCTGCTGGTGGAAACTCTCAGGAAGCAGGTGGGAGAGCTACAGGAGGAGGTGGCTAGGCTGAGGCGCATCCATGCCCATGAGGAATTCCTTGAAAGTATTCATATGGAGACATGCAAGACCGAGGAAGCTATCCAGCTAGAGAGGACTGCTGTCACGCCAGGGGAGGAGGATATGGTTCTGTCACAGGGAGGACACTGGCTGCTGGTTGCTTCTGGCAGCAGGCAGTGCTTCAACCCTGCTCTGAACCCATCCACCACGGTGATGGAAAACCGATGGGCAATAACTGATGAGGAATCACCCCCAAAGGGGGAGGAGGAGAAACCATGTACCCCCAAGGCTGGGAGGTTTGCAGTCACCACTCCCAGGAGGAAACGTAAGGTAGTGGTGGTTGATGACTCTCTTCTGAAGGGGATGGAGGCACCCATCTGTCGCCCTGACATGGCATCCTGGGAGGTATGCTATGTGCCAGGGGACAATATCTGAGATGTTATGGAGGGATTGTCGAGGATCATCCGGCCCTCTGACTGCTACCCTATGCTACTCATCCATGTGGGCACTAATGATACTGTGAGGTGTGACCCTCAGCAGATCAGAAGTGACTACGGGGCCCTGGGAGTAAGGGTGAAGGAGTTGGGAGCACATGTGGTAGTCTCTTAGATCCTTCTGGTCAAGGGTAGGGGCCCAGGCAGAGACAGATGCATCCTGGAGGTGCACACCTGGCTGCGAAGATGGTGTCGCCAGGAGGGCCTCAGCTTCCTTGACCACGGGATGCTGTTCCAGGAAGAAGGACTGCTAAACAGAGATGGGGCCCACCTATCGAGGAAGGGGAAAAGCATATTTGGATACAGACTGGCTAATCTAGTGAGGAGGGCTTTAAGCTAGTTCGAAGGGGGAACCCACAGGTAAGTCAAAAACATGGACACCTGGGAGAAGGGTCAGAATTTGGGGAGAGTATGGTCTGTTATAGCAGGAATAAAGGAGAGAGAAGACAGAACCAGGGGGGAAATCAAATCAGTATCTTAGATGTCTGTATACTAATACGAGAAGTATGGGGAATAAGCAGGAAGAACTCAAAATGCTAGTAAATAAACACAACTATGACATAGTTGGCATCACAGAGACTTGGTGGGATAATACGCATGACTGGAATATTTGTATAGAAGGGTACAGCTTGTTTAGGAAACACAGGCAGGGAAAAAAAATCAAGGAGGTGTTGCCTTGTATATTAAAAATGTATGCACTTGAACTGAGGTTGAGATGGAAATAGGAGACTGACTTGTTGAAAGTCTGTGGATAAAGATAAAAGGGGTAAAAAACAAGGGTGATGTCATGGTAGGGGGTCTACTACAGACCACCTAACTGGGAAGAAGAGGTGGATAAGGCTTTTTTTTTTTTAAACAACTAACAAAATCATCCAAAGCACAGGACTTGGTGGTGATCGGGGACTTCAACTACTCAGACATCTGTTGGGGAAAATAGTACAGCAGGACACAGATTATCCAACAATTTCTTGGAATGTATTGGAGACAATCTTTTATTTCAGAAGGTGGAGACAGCTACTAAGGGAAAGGCTGCTCTAGATTTGATTTTCACAAATAGGGAGGAACTGGTTGAGAATTTGAAAGTGGAAGGTAGCTTGGGTGAAAGTGATCATGAAATGGTAGAGTTCATGATTCTAAGGAATGGTAGGAGGGAGAACAGCAAAATAAAGACAATAGATTTCAAGAAGACAGAATTTAGCAAACTTAGGGAGTTGGTAGGTAAGATCCCATGGGAAGCAAATCTAAGGTGAAAAACAACTGAAGACGGTTGGCCGTTTTTCAAAGAGACATTATTAAGGGGCACAAGAGCAAACTACCCCACTGCGTAGGAAAGATAGGAAGTATGACAAGAGACCACCCTGGCTTAACCAGGAGATCTTCAATGATCTAAAAATCAAAAAAGAGTCCTAGAAAAAGTGGAAATTAGGTCAAATTGCAAAGGATGAATATAAACAAATAAGTAGGTAGGTACAAAATTTGAAAGGCCAAGGCACAAAACGAGATCAAACTAGCTAGAGACATAAAGGGTAAAAAGAAAACATTCTACAAATACATTAGAAGCAAGCGGAAGGCCAAGGACAGGGTAGGCCCGTTACTCAATGAGGGGGGAAAATAATAACAGAAATGGCAGAGGTGCTTAATGACTTCTTTGTTTCATTTTCATTAAGAAGGTTGGTGGTGATTGGACATCTAACACAGTGAATGTCAGTGAAAATAAGGTAGGATCAGAGGCTAAAATAGGAAAAGAACAAGTTAAAAATTACTTAGACAAATTAGATGTCTTCAAGTCATCAGGGCCTGATGAAGTGCATCCTAGAATACTCCAGGAGCTGACTGAAGAGATATCTGAGCCATTAGCAATTATCTTTGAAAAGTCATGGAAGACGGGAGAGATTCCAGAAGACTGGAAAATGGCACTATATTTGCCCATCTATAACAAGGGAAATAAGGACAACCTGGGGAATTACAGACCAGTCAGCTTAACTTCTGTACCCGGAAAGATAATGGAGCAAATAATTAAGCAATCAGTTTCAAACATCTAGAAGATAATAAGGTGATAAGTAACAGCATGGATTTTTAAAGAACAAATTGTGTCAAACCAACCTGATAGCTTTCTTTGACAGGGTAACAAGCCTTGTGGATAGAGGAGAAGCTGTAGACCTGGTATATCTTGACTTTAGTAAAGCTTTTGATACTGTCTCGCATGACCTTCTCATAAAAAAAGAAATGCAAGCTAGATGGAGCTACTATAAGCTGGGTGCAAAACTGGTTTGAAAACCTTCCCAGAGAGCAGTTTCAGTGGTTCACAGTCATGCTGGAAGGGCATAATGAATGGGGTACTGCAGGGATCAGTTCTGGGTCTGGTTTAGGTAATGGCATAGAGAGTACACTTGTAAAGTTTGAGGACGATATCAAGCAGGGAGGGGTTGCAAGTGCTTTGGAGGATAGGATTTAAATTCAAAATGATCTGGACAAACTGGAGAAATGGTCTGAAGTAAATAGGATGAAATTCAATAAGGAAAAATGCAGAGTATTCCATTTAGGAAGGAACAAGCAGTTGCACACACACAAAATGTGAAATGACTGTGAAGGAAGGAGTACTGCCGAAAGGGATCTGGGGGTCATTGTGGACCACAAGCTAAATATGAGTCAACAATGTAACACTGTTGCAAAAAAAGCAAACATCATTCTGGGGTATATTAGCAGGAGTGTTGTAAGCAAGACACAAGAGGTAATTCTTTTGCTGCACTCTGCGTTGATTAGGCCTTTTAGTGTAAGTACTTACATAGTTACGGTTGACATAAGCTGCCTGGCGTTGACCTAACTCTTAGTGTAGACCAGGCCTCTCTCTCACCAACAGAAGTTGGTCCAATAAAAGATATTACCTTACCTGCCTTGTTTTTCTAATATCCTGGGACCGACATGGCTACAACAACAGTGCATATCTTCCATCATGTGTGTTAATTTTTCAAAAAACAAATTCAACTATTTGACAGATACTGCAGATGATATTAATGGTGTAAGAATAAAGTATAATATTTAGTGCTTACAAAATTGGTTGCATACTTAGCAAATGACATTTGATATTAGCTTTTTATCTTAATCATGAAAAGGTCCCAGAACAAAATTGATATGTTATAATGGAAGTCTGCTAAGTTTGTGGTGTTGTACTTTAAAAAATGTACATTAGGGCACCTTAGACCAAAATGTCAATTAAGTTTCTGGATTATTTAAAATATGTGCTATTTAGTTATGAGTCAGATTCAGATCCATAAATTCTAATTGTTTTAACTGGGAACAGAGTCCAGCCCTATAAAAGTTGATTTGGTTTTGTGGCTGTTTTTATCATTCAACCTTTGCTTTTAAAGGGAAATATAATTAATGCAAAAAATATTATTTTTGTTATGCAGTAGAGGTGGTGTGTCTGTCCCTATCATTTTGAAGGCTGTTATTCTTCCTTATTCCTTTTCCAGCTGCTGGCAGACAGACCAGGAGTAATAGGTCGTGCTTAAATGCATGCTTTCCACATGGTAATGTAGCATGACACTAAATAGGGTTGGCTTTTCCATCATTTCTGAAGATTATCTGTGATTAGACTTTGTCAGGTATGGCCTTAAAAAAAATCTAGATCACTGGCTCCGATTGTTCTCAGAGATATAAATAACATAGCTCTTATGGCAGTAAAGTACACTGTCAAGGTCTTAATCTAATTACTGCGAGTTACCCTTGTAACCTAATTAAAAGTTAAGGTAGGTATTTGTTATATCTTAGCTAATACTTGTTTTTGGCACCTTCAAATGAAGAGAAATGTGCCTGAATGAAGAACAGCAATTCTAAAAACCCTGTAGAATTGAGTTTAGTTTTGCAGCAGTAATAGTTTAGAAGGAAATGAATTTCTTATAAATGTGATTGTTTCTATGAAAACAGTTTCAAATAATTTTAATGTAAAAGAGTTATTTGTGATGTTACATGTGGTCATTTGTTTGTCTTCAGTGCAGTGGAAAAGGGTAGCATATAGTATAGCTAATTAAGAATGTACTACAACTATATTTTCTTCTTCCCTTTATCTATTTTTATTTTATTTTGTACTGTGTTCCTCCAGAATTTTAAGAGCGAGTAGAGGATAAATACTGTTTGAGTTCCAGTGGCTCTGGAGGAAGCATCTATGGAATCTAGGATAACATAACCCTTGTAATTTCTCCTATGTAGCTCTGACCTATGTGTACAATCTTTCCCCGCCCCCTTGAATTCATGTTTGAAAAATAAAAACTCTGCGCCTCCCCCCTCCCCCCCACTTTAATTACTGGAAAGGCGCTTGTCTTCTCTGATTGGGACACTTGGCTTTCAGTCAAAGACCTGTCTTCCTAAGGATCTGTAAAATAACACATGTTGGGGCACCATATAAAAATAAAGTAACGTAGTTCAACTGATCAAATAGTTGGTTACCAAATGTTAGTAGCCCATCTTTATACTCTAGTGGCCCAGATCATTCTCAGTGGAAAAGGTATTGTTTTTTGTTTGGTTGGTTTTTTGGGGGGGTTGTTTTATTTTTGTGAGATTCCAGTTTCAGGATCATCACTGTTAATTCTGCTTTCTTACCAGCTGTTCATGTCCCTTGTCTGTCTCCCTTTCCATCTCTATTTTTTGTTGTACGTGCCTCTTGTTTGTTTCATTTTCTGTCTTTTTCTTTGCTCCTGTTAGGAAACTTCTATATGTGTAGCTGAATACAGAATGAAACCAGCTAGGATCCTAATTGGTTTAATTGAGCATCTGACTCTTACTAGTAAATTCATAACTTTGCTAGACATTAAAAATCATGGCCCTAATAAAGACACTGAATTTATGGCTTTTACAACAATCTATACCTCACTAACTTCCATTTTTGTCCTATGACTACAGTGATGTTAATGGGCCACTTCACCTTGAATGTCCCCTTAGAATATGTGCTAACTACTTATGCTAAACTAACTGTTTGACCTTGTATTTAACTGTGATGCTCTGAGTACCTTTCACATAGCAGAAGAAGAGCTCTGTGTAGCTCAAAAGCTTGTTTCTCCCACCAACAGAAGTTGGTCCAGTGAAAGATATTATTTCACCCATATTGTCTCACTATTATTAATTGATTCTCTAATAGTCCCTCTCTTGTAAGAAGAGTTATGAGAGCTTGTGGGATCTTTTCTTCATGATTTTCTTTGCAATAAAGTATTCTTCATGAGTATTAATCTTCTATCCAGATCTGAAAATCTTTGCTTGATCATCTTTGCTCAGACCAGTCTGTCAGAAGGTGGCATAAATGCTGTTTTTAAAAGTGTGGTTTTTTTATAGGAGATTTTAATTTCCCCCCCCCCCCAAATAGTAAATAGGGGTCATGATATGTGGCAGCCTTGTGGTATGTCAGACACAACTGGCCCCAGAGCTCAATACGTCACATTCGCCAATTACAAGTATATTCTATTTCTGATGCTTGTTTAACTCCCGTTAGCATTAATAGAAGGCTGTGGAATGACAGAAATGTAGGGCTGGAAGGAACCTCAAGAGATCAATTCCCTCCATGCTGTGGCGTGACAAAGGTATACCTAGACCATCCTTGATATGTGTTTGTCTAACCAGTTCTTAAAAACGTCCAATGACTGATTCCACAACCTCTCTTGGTAACCTATTCCAATACTTAACTATCTTTTTTCCTAATGTCTAACATAAATCTCCCTTGCTGTAGATTAAGCTGATTACTACTTGTCCGGCTTTCAGTGGACATGGAGAACAACTGATCACCATCATGTTTATAAAAGCCATTGACATATTTGAAGACTTCTCAGGTCACCCCCCCTCCCCCCCCAGTTGTCTTTTTTTCTCAAGACTAAAGGCCGTTTTTTAACCTTTCCTCATAGGTCAGGTTTTCTAAATCTTTTATCATTTTTATGTCTCTCCTTTGGACTTTATCCACATCCTTCTTGAAATGTGGTGCCCAAAACTGGACACAATACTCCAGCTAAAGCCTCACCAGTGCTGAGTAGAGCAGAAAAATTACTTTCCACATCTTATGTAAAACACTCCTGTTAACACACCCCAGAATATTAGCTTTTTTTCCTTCTCCTTTTTTGCAGCTTTGTCACATTGTTAGCTTATATTCAATTTGTGGTCCGAGCTGGTGTTAAAGAAAAACTTGTACTTGTTTCCTATGACGTCAGTTTTGAGTCATTAGGTAGGAGTAAGAGTTTAAATGGGTTCATCTAACATGTTGGATATCTGAGACAGCATGTTCAGGGAGTCAAAGGCTCAGGGGATTTGTATTGCAATACTTTCAATTTCTAGATCACTTATTTTCATCCATCTCAGCTAGATTGGTGATGATTCAAAGTTTTGCTGTCTGATGTCTCTTTGGCGGCCTATATGAAGTTAATTGTTACTATTACTCCAGTTGTTAATAAGCAGGTGTCCAGATCACAACTAGCTGCCCTTTTGGTAGCTTCGGTAGAGCTGCTAAAGGTTGAATAGGCATCAGTCCCTTAAAACTGTCCTCTAAAGGTGGTCTCTCCAGAACATTATGGGGGAACTGTGCTACTACCACCTCCTTTGTACCAGTTCTGTAGATAAATTACTCTAATTTTTTATGCTGTCAATCTGGCACCTTCATAACAGCAAAATAATTTGATTATAATTGAGTTTCTATAGGTACTATATATATTTATATTTATTCACTGTTTGCTTTAGACAGGAAAATCACTGTATACCAATTAGGGCTTTTCACAGGATCGTACACTGAGATTAGAAAAGACTGCTTGGGCCATCTTTTGATTCCTCTGAATTTTACAGAAAAGTTCACCACATCATCTTCGCTAATGTCTTGCCTTGATTTACAGGGCTTCACTGTGTATCCAGATGGTTATGGAATAGGCTTGTTCTTCATGCAGACTCTTTATCATGACTCACCTGGACAAGAATTCTAACAGTAGTAAAACCTCAGCTAAGGTTCTGGTTAGAATTGTTTTATTATATTTTGTATTTACATCATCTTTGGTTTCATTATTCCTGATACTACACACAGCATATTTCTTTTTACAGAGAAAAACTAAGCTCATCTCCTTGAATGCTGAAAAATTAAAAAGGCACACCATCTGCCCAGAAAAAGAATTACTGTAATTATTACCTCCGTTGGGTACATTAAATGTACAAATTGTTTACTCAGTGTAATCTTTGTTTCTCTGTTCATTCACAGATGTTGGGATTGGCACAGGGATGTTTTGACCACACAATTCCATATGTAAAGGAGAGAGTCCAGTTTGGGAAAAGCATATTTGATTTTCAGGTATTCATCAGTGTATATATTAAAAGCTGTCTACTTAAAAGAGTCGTAAACATAATAGAAAATGTCAGGAATGAGTCATTTGATTGAATAACTATAGTGCTGTTGTGTTATTTAATATCTCCCCTTCTCAATGTCTGTAAATGGCAAATTGAAAAGAAATTCAGATAAACCTGAATTTGGCATATATGATCTGCAGATCTAATGGTGTTTGTGCATCTGTTTGTGCATCTATTTCATACAATAATTAAAACCTGACAGGACACTGGACTAGATGAACCATTGGTCTGACCCAGTGTAGTCATTCTTATGTTCTTAAGTGCATAGTTCAAGTACTCATTCGGCGGGGGCATGATTCACTGTTATTTCCGAATTGGAAGTACATTAGAAGACGTCATCTTCTTAAGGTGGGGAATGGAGTTGGAGTCACTATTACTGAATGGTTCAGCCATATTCACCTCCTGGACCAGATCCTTTGCTCTACGTAGGAGTAAATCAAGAATTGCCTCCCCTTGTGGGTTCCAGGACTAGCTGCTCCAACAAGCAGTCATTAATGGTACCTAGAAATTTTATGTTTGCATCCTGTCCTGAGGCGATAAGTACCCAGTCAATAGGGCAATAGTTGAAATCTCCTATTGTTGTTGGGTTTTCTATTTTTGTAACCCCTCTAATCTCCCTGAGCATTTCACAATCACCATCACTATCTGGATCAGATGGTCAGTAGTATATTCTTACTGCTATACTCTTACTATTCAAGCATGGAATTTTTATCCATACAGATTCTGTAGTACAGTTTGATTATATTTGACTTTATGCTTTCTTGTATATATAGTGCCACTTTCCCGCCAGCGTAACCTACTCTTATTCCTCTTTAGTTTGTATCCTGATATTACTGTGTCACAATGATTATCGTTGGTACACCAAGTTTCTGTGATGCTTATTGTATCAAATCCTCATTTAATACTACGCACTCAAGTTCATTCATCTTAATATTTAGACTTCAACTTACCAAGTTGTAACAAATTTTACAACCTAATGTGCCCATTGGGTCCCTGTGTTGCTGTGCGGAAGATTGGCTGGGGGTGGAGAGGGGAGGAAGCGAATGTTCAGATCAATCAGGCAGCGAGGGAAATATTCATTCCTTGCTCCCAGAAGTCTGTTAGTGTGATACCCACAGCAGGGCCCCAAAATCCAGTTCTGCTCCAATTGTGAGGGGAGGGAAGTTTTGATCAGGATGCAGAATGAGGAAAAAAGCTTATCAGCCCAGTCTTGAATACTCAGAAGCCAACAGCCTTATAGTGCAACCTTCTGTCTAACCAATCAGCCAAGGAGCTCTCCCTCCTCAATTACATGAAGCTGAGTATCCAGGAGGAAGGGAAGAAAAAAGACAGGTGCAATTTTTCAGGTGGCTCAGATTTTCTTTCTCCTGCTGGCCCAGATGAAGTCTTACCACCTCTGAAAGTGCAGAAAGGAGCGGGGGAAAACATTTTATTAATCCACGATCATATTTTATTTCAGAATGCAGGTTTAAATCTTTGAAAAGCAATACACATTTTGCTGCATATTGAAGTTAGGCAGCTGGATAATACTTTAAAGAATATTAGATGTGTTGTAAGTTCTGTCTAACATCAGGCCTGCTTATTACAGGGAATGCAACATCAGATAGCTCAAGTGGCCACCCAGCTGGAAGCTGCACGGTTGCTGACCTATAATGCAGCCAGACTCGTAGAAGCAGGAAGGCCATTCAGAAAAGAAGCAAGCATGGCCAAGTATTATGCTGCCGAGGTAACCAATATTTGCCTTATTTGGTACTCTTAGTTCACTTGCTTTTTGTTTTAAAGCCTTATTTTTGCTAAATATGTTTCTTGTTTTCTTTGTAAATTAAGCATAGTTTTCTCTTATTTCCAACATACAGTTTTCAGACAGGATGAAAGTAGGACAACTGAGGGATAAACAGAATAACCCTCGTAAATAGAGGACAAAAAACCCTCAAACAGCAGAATTAAAGAAAGGAAGTGTAGTATTATTTATGCACTCAATAAAACCTCAAATACTAGCATTCACCCTCAAGGAGATGCTCTGAAAGATTCCATCACCTCAGAATTCACTGCTATGGTAAGATAGGGGGGAATTAATCTGTGGTCAAGAACGCCTCTCCCAGTCATGATGATAATTCTGGATATAAAATCCAGAAATGTCTATGGGCATAGAATCACTTCCTTTTCACTTGCAATGGTAGCCAAAACAGCAATTAAAGTTTCTTTCTTGGTAGGGAAGGGACTATTGCAAATAACTATTCTGACTTCTTCATGTCATCAGGTGGGTGAAGTGGGAATGAACCTTAAATTGGTGCACAAACAACATTCTTATAAAGTTTGCATAGAATAGGTGACTCAAATCTCCATTCTTTCCCTTTCCCTCCAATTGCTGCTTTAATTATTGCTTTGCTTTTCTGAAATTAGATGGAACAAATGACATTGACTGACTTCTTGGCAAAGATGTGTCCTGGGATGGTAATTGTGAATCTAATTTTCCTTAGGTTGCAACACTGACGACTAGTAAATGTATTGAATGGATGGGTGGAGTTGGATTCACAAAAGATTATCCAATTGAAAAATACTATCGAGACTGCAAAATTGGTAAGCAGCAATTACTTACGAATATATAATATAGACGTGGGTTTGGTATTGTTTCAAGGTTAACATAAGAACGGCCTTACTTGGTCAGACCAAAGGTCCATCCAGCCCAGTATCCTGTCTACTGACAGTGGCCAATGCCAGGTGCCCCAGAGGGAGTGAACCTAACAGGTAATGATCAAGTGATCTCTCTCCTGCCATCCATCTCCACCCTCTGACAAACAGAGTTCTCGGGACACCATTCCTTACCGATCCTGGCTAATAGCCATTAATAGACTTAACCTCCATGAATTTATCAGTTCTCTTTTAAACCCTGTTATAGTCGTAGCCTTCACAACCTCCTCAGGCAAGGAGTTCCACAGGGTGACTGTGCGCTGAGTGAAGATGAACTTCCTTTTATTTGTTTTAAACCTGCTACCCATTAATTTCATTTGGTGGCCCCTAGTTCTTATATTATGGGAACAAGTAAATAACTTTTCCTTATTTACTTTCTCCACACCACTCCTGATTTTATATACCTCTATCGTATCCTCCCTTGTGTTTCAATTACCTGGATACCAATTTGTCAGAGGTATTTTCCTTTCAACAAATAAACGCTGAGATATGACACTGATAAGGGTCATAAATATCTAGATATATGAGTCAGTCTGTCTATCATATTTAATTCAGAGTTAAAAAAATAGTGTGTGTGTGTGTGTATTGCTTTAGTGTGAATGTTACTGTTCAATCCAAATTTCAGTTCAAATTACTATCAAAGGTACTTAAAAATTAAATTGAAACCACAAGAGGGAGGAGAGAGTTTGGGTTAAAAAGTGTCAAAGTGACTTAGGAGTACAAGTCTCACTTTCAAAAGTTACTTGGCTATTTACGCTTCTAAGTCCTGTACTAAGTCACTTTGATAGTTTTGACAGTTTTAGTCTGACTTCTGGCTTTAATGGCTGATGTCAGCTGTAAATACTTTAAAATTTGACTTGAAATGTGGGAATTGCTGTTCATGGAAATTTCTTACCCCCCAAAATAAGTCAACTATTGATATTATATACCAACAAGAAAGTTTGCTTCACTATAGTCAACAGTAAAATACTGTAATATTTTATGTGAATATCAGCTCTGCTTCTGGTTGTTAATATGAATCTTTGCTTTATTGTCTTAGAGCTTTAATTGGATCTTTAGAACAAGGATTTAAATTACTGTTAATATGCTTAGTTTAGTTTTATTTCCTTTGGTTTGTTTCAGGTACAATATATGAAGGAACTTCAAATATCCAGCTGAATACAATTGCAAAATGCATAGCTCAAGAATACTGAAAACGGCAAGGACGTTGTGACTGTTCACACTGAAATTTAGAATCAGCATGCCTCATTGGTGAAATCAAGGGTTACATATTTATTCCAAATTGTGTGTTTGTTTTTTTAAAAAAAAAACCCTAATCGTGGAATTTTATCCCTAAAACACTTCTAAAACAGTGCAATGATTTAAGTGATTGGGTTGTTTCAGACTGTACAGATCGACAAAAGTAAACAAAGAAACAGGAGATAAATCCTCAGCCTGCTCTACTGGCACAAAAGGGCACAAAGACACCTGAAGGGGCAGCTGATTTCCCCCAGGGCAGAGGTATCATTGGCTGGTGTAAAGCCAGCTATATGCCGTCTGGTGTGGTGAGAATGGGTAGACTTGGATAGTTCAGCCATCCTTGCTACCTTTCTCCGGTGAGCGATTCCTTTGGGGCCGCTACAGTTGAGGTTACTTAGAGCAGTCTTAGCCTATTCTAAATTATATCTGGCAGCTTGGCCCTTGGCAGTCCCTGGATTGGGGATCTTGAAAGGTGCATTGGTCAAACTGGACAGTCTCTACGTAAAAAAATAAATGGACACAAATCAGATCTCAAGAATGATAACATTCAAAAACCAGTTGGAGAACACTTGAATCTCTTTGGTCACTCGATTACAGACCTAAAAGTGGCAATTCTTCAACAAAAAAACATCAAAAACAGACTCCAACGAGAGACTGCTGAATTGGAATTAATTTGCAAACTGGATACAATTAACTTAGGCTTGAATAGAGACTGGGAGTGGATGGGTCATTACACAAAGTAAAACTATTTCCCCATGTTTATTACCCTCCCCCACCCCCCAGACTTAACATTCTTGATATTTATGAGGTAAAACAAGCAGACTCGTGCATGATCAGAAAGAAGCGAAAAGCATAGTGCCATTTTTATAAAAGTTATTTGTAGGTCACTATTGTGACTTGCCCAAGGCCACCAAGGGAATCAGTGTAGGGATTAGAATTTGGGGCTTCATTATTGCAACGCTTGTGCTTCAACCCTGCACCATTCCTCCCTTGGTTGAAGCTTCAGTTTTAATGTGACTGCTTTAGTAGAGTGACTCTTCCAACAAATGCTTAGATTAGGGTGACAGTTGTCCCTTTGCTGAAGAGAACAAGTTTCAAGATTCATTTGATCAATGCCTTGGTGACTTTCAAGAGAAAAAATTTCAAATTGTTTGCAGACATACTTCCAGCTAAACTAAAAGAAGCTGAGGGTACAGTTCAACTAGAATTGATTATTTTAGGGCTTGTCTTCACAGCAACAGTTAGCTCAAATACCCCACTCCAGCTAGCCTAGCTTGAGTGAGAGCAGCCACACTGTGAAACACTTGAGCTACACAGATTGATTGGCTTAGCAACTGATGAGTTGTGCTAACATGGTGAACTATAGCCTATAGCTGCATCCCCACTTTATTACTAGCTTGAGCATCAGCAGTGTTTGAGCTTCAACCTGCACTCCCTGATGGGCCAGCTAGTTGAAGTTTAAAGCACCACTGAACTTAAGCTAGAGATTTGTATGTTGACAGGAGTACCTGAAGCTAACACTGCGGTGAAGGCAAGCCCCTTAGTGCCGTGATCCAAATTTTGTGAGGAAAAATATTGAATTTCTATTAAGACCTGCTGTGGGACAGATATCAAGGGTTGTGTAAGAGGGCTACTCTTTGTATGACCTCCCTGGAAGTATGTCATATTGGTAAAGATCCGCTTAAAGTGATTTGGAAAAATCAAAATATTGCAATGTGCCTAACAGCCTCAAATCTGCATTCTGTTATCCATGTGGTCATCTTGAAAATTCAGCTAGCCATCAGATAGTTGATTTTAGAGAATTAATGCCAGTCTTTCCATTAACACTGAGACACAGAACATGTTTGTCTACAGTGCTGTGTGCAGTTATATAAGTAAGTACAGAGCACTTTCCAAGAGAAACACTACATAAATGTGTATTTATCTATAAAGACCTAAACAAATTTGTGTGCAAATTAATTGCAGTTATTGAGTTTCTGGCAAGATGCCATTAAAGCCTTTGCTGCGGCCAAAAATGACATACCACTGTCCTAAACACTAGTCTCCCAAGAAACGGACAGTGTCATGTTGGGCCAAATTATTTAATCTCCTTGAGTTAGATTCCATTGCTGCACCAGTGCAGACTCTGGTTTGGCAACTGAGTGGGTTGTGCCTTCTTGCCTGAGTCTTCAGGAAACTGAGTTGGCCCCGGGTGCAGGGTTAGGGCAACCCATCAGGACTTCCCTAAGTTGCACCTCTGCTGTTAGCACTGCAAAATAACCTGGGCATAGGATTGGCCCTCCTGTCTCCCGCAACAGGGATCTTTTGATGGGTTGCAGCGCTGCCTTTGTACCTCTTCAAGAAAGTCTGCCATGCTGAGGATGGGACTTACAGCTGCTTTTTAGCTTTGTTATGTTGTTGTAAAGTGGCTTCAGTGCTCCTATGAATTCCCCCTTGTGTCTTCAGTCAACCCAGCTGAACAACTGCACTGAAATCACATCTTCAGTAACAGGAATGTTGCACCTGTGCTTTCCTAGATTAAAAACAAATATTGGGGTTGTTCTTAAAAAGTGCCTGTATTTTTTAAAATATAATACCTATATTTTGTATCTGTTGTAGAGTCTCTAACAATCTCATTTTTAATAAGGCATTGGAACTATGAATTTTGTAACTTATTGAGACTGAGCAGAAAAATTTTGGTCAGATTTTTGTGCACTAATTACTCATTCTTGTTAAAGCTCTGAGGCAGATATCAAGTTTAGGGCATGGTTTCTGCATGGAAAAATATTAAAATATGCTATTTTATGTGATGTGTTCTGTGCTCTTGTTCTCAGTCATATTTTTCTTCAAATGTCAAGACTCTGTACTGCTTCTGCAAAATGACCTCTTGAACTTCACAAAAAGGAACAAAAATAAATATTTGATCCACTGTCTTAAAGGAATCTGGTGTGAAATACAAAGTAATTAATTTTGAAAAGAAACTTGCTCTTGAAAATAGATGGAATCTTTAACTTGACCAAATAATTACTGAACAATTTACAAGTATTTGTAGAGTTTGATCACCAAATAGAGAGAGGAACTGGCATTCAGCTATCTGATTTGGATGTGTTTGAAATACCTAGATAGCTTTTAATTCTGTCCAAGAGGTGCAGCAAGAGAGTATTGGAATGAAATTAAGAAAAGGAAAAATTGGTTTGATATGATGGAAATTTTCACCAGTAAGTTCTATTAGATTGTGGAATAATCTCCTAGTTAAAGTAGAAGCCCCATTATTTGAATAATATTACATTTAAATGAATAAAGGGCTTGAGAATGTACTGTAGTAATCAACTGTGCATTGAGAAAGTGTGGATTTGATATCCTCAGTTGGAAGATACAATAGAAGTGCAAAGCTGAAATTTAATTTTCTGACGTATGTATTTTCTAGAAAATTGTTCGTACAGAAGAGCTCATTGTTCAGTGGTAGGATATTGACTGTTATAGTTTTTATAGTTACAATGTAAAATACACATGAAATTTCCATATTACAGTCCTTTGGTAAAAGTCTTGTTTCAACTGACATCAAAGCTATTAAACCTGTCACCTCATGATAATGTTCCAGATATGGAATATCTGGTTTTACAGCAGCTAACTATGGCTTTTTGACTTTATCTGTTAAAATGTTTCTTCAGTTTGTACGTATTTACTCAAATCCAGGGCATATTTGCAATATTAATCTGGTATTCTTTTCACGAAAAAAGTTGAATTTAACAACCAGCACAAATACCTAAAAGTTCTCCACTTTGATCCCTTTTCTTCAGTTGTCAGATATGAATAACTGAAGTAGATGCACATCAAGTGTCAGTAAGAGTAAGAATTGAAGGGGACAAGTGTGTATTTTTTTAAGATGCTTATGAGAAGTCTCAAGTGTTCTATAACTTAAGTATTATGTAACATTTCCCCCATCTATCAGGTTAAGTACAGTAGCTGCAGAGCATTTTACAGAGATGGAGTTAGGCAGTTCCCTCGTAGGACTAATTCCTTGTATTGGATTTAGTAAGGTGATGTGGCATGGCAGAGGTCCATGACTATATTGAGTTTGTCTAAGATTTCATGAAATATTAATATTGTGTGACTAGTTTGCAAGTTGTCTGCATGCCGGGGTGAGGGATTTACAAAAGGTAAGTGACTAACCACAGACCTTGTTTCCAATACTGTAAAGCCTATTCATGAACTATCCAGATTATATTGAGATAAACATAGTGCTAACTCTAATAGTTGGTTCAAACATTATATACAAATTTATGAATGTTTAGTTTTTCACAAGTTTATGCCTTAATCTTATTTAAATAACTAAGTCCTGTTTACTTTTGTTGCAGAGAGGAACAAACCATTCAAAGTGAAGTGGCAAGTTACAAAGGGTGGTTAGTGAGTTACAGATTAGATTTACAACGGTGGCTTTATTTAGACCATGATTTTTAGCAAAGCTCCCAGGTTCATTTTTTGAATGTGTTGTGAAGGTTTCCTTTGAGGACGAGGTCTCAGGGATCGTATATGGAGTGATTGTTTTGTGAAAAGTGTTCACCCAGGGATAATATGGTGTTTTTGTCTTATTCTTCTGTATAAGTTTATATGAGAGTGTAGCGATTGTCTGGTTTCACCTACGTATTTGTTATTGGGGCATTTATTGCACTAGATGATGTACACCACATGTTGGGATATTCATGTGTAGGCTCCATGTGCCTCCAGGGGCCTGAACTTCTGCCTCATTACAGAACCTGATATATTAATGTGGAGAACTAGGAGAATTCTGTCATTGAACCACCCACAATTATCATCTCACTATCGACAGTCATAAGAAAAAAGAATTATCTGAATGGCCACCGCACAGTGGACGAAACCACGCACTTGATCATTACATTGATTGCTTTTCGAAAAAAAAGCAAAACAAACATCACAATCTCTCCACTGCGAGAGGACAGCTATATAGTCGCTGTAATCCAACCACCAGATAGTGATCAAACCAGCATACAAAGGGAGTGCCATCATTGTTCTCAACCATGACGACTATGTCAATGAGACCAATTGACTACTCTCTGACACCACCTTTTATAAAGAACTCAAAGATGACCCCACACCACAATACACTCAGGAATTTAAGAATATCAAATCCTTCCCCAAACAATTCCAAGAGAAACTGTACAACCTTATCTCCCATGAACCCACCCCAGGGACACTTTTGTATGCTTCCCAAGATACACGAACAAGGGAAACCAGTCAGACATATATCTGGCCATGGCATTCTTACTGAAGGAATATCTGGACACAGAAATCATCCTAAAACCACTCACAGCACAAGGGGCCAGCTTCTTCCAGGACAAAGTCGACTTCCTCCAGAAACTCCACAGCATTAACAGCCTCCCTCAGAACACCATGTGTGCCACAATGGATGTCTCCTCCCTATACACCAGCATCCCTCAGGATGGCTCCCCAATATGCAAGCCTCTTGATGGGCCACCTTGAGGAAGAATTTCTGGACAAATGCACTTCAAAACCACCGATGATATACCTGAGATACATCAATGATATTTTCATCCTTTGGACAGACTACCTAAACTCCCTCAGATCTCCACCAAAACTTCAACAACCACTACCCATCCATTAAACTTTCTCTAGAACACTCCCAAACCAGCATCAACTTCCTGGGACATCATGATCAGCTTCAACAATGAAAACCCATAGTCAACTATAAACAAGAACCCCCGATCACCACAGTTACCCTCCAAGATCCAGTAATCACTCCAAGCACACTAACTACAACCAGGCCCTCAAATACCATAGAATATGCTCTGAGGAGAGTGTCAGGGATACACACCTTAACATACTTAAAGACACTCCAGCACAGAAGTAGATCACATGAAAAGGGCCACCCAAATACCCTGAGGGAACCTGTTTCAATACCACACCCTTCTGACCGCACCCACCTATTTGTCACCTACCACCCCATACTAGAACCCATATGGGGTATAACTAAGAAATTACAACCCATATTTGATGGGGACCACATCCTGAAAGAAATCTTTCCCAAACCCTCTCTTCTGCCTGTCAAAAACACCGCAATCTCACCAAGCTTATCAGCAGCAAGCTCCTCACAGACCAGGACACCAACTTGAAGCAGCACCAGACCCTGCCACAACAGCAGATGCAAAAACTGCAGACATATCTCCACTGCTATGATAATCATTCTTCTCTCCCCCCCCCCCCCCCCCAGCCCAACACACCTTTCAAGATCCACGGGTCGTACACATCCCAATATGTGTCATTCCTCATCCAGTGCACTAAATGCCCCAGTAACAACTATGTGAGGGAAACCAGACAATCAGTACACTCTCAGATGAATTCACACACAAAAATAGGACATAAACACTATATCACCCCTGGGTGAACCATTTTTACAAAATTATCAGTCCTCATTCTGAAAGGAAGCCTGCACAATGAGTTCAAAAGACAAGCCTGGGGCTTAAATTCATAACTTTGCCAGACTCTAAAAATCATGGACTGAATAGAGACACTAGATTTATGGCTTATTACAACAATCTATAACCCATTAGCCCCCTTTTTTGTCCGAGGACTACAGAGGTACTAATTGGCCACTTAGAATATGTGTTAACTATTTATGCTAAACAATCTGTTGCATCTTGTATGTAGTTGAAAGCTTGTCTCTTTCCCCAGCAGAAGTTGGCTCAATAGAAGACATTACCTCATCCACCCTGTCTCACTAATATCCATGGACCAACGTGGCTAAAACAACACTGCACACAACATTTTGAAGCTCAGTGCCAAGCTAACATGAAGTCTCATTCTAACATAGATAGCAAAAAGGAATTGGAATATCTATTTCAATAGAAATGTGCCAATTCTAAAATTATCCAGTATAAAAATGCTTAATGTGACTATATGTCTGACTCAGGACTTCGCTATTTGATAATAGATGTAATATTAGGCTGCTTTAAAATCTTGGCATTATATTAGCCTTAGCAATGAGAAGCAGCATTTCTCTAAGCTAAACACTATTCTGACCACATGCATTAACTCTGTAGTAACAAGTATGTCACGAATACCAGCCAAATTGCCACTGAGTCAGTGCAACCCAGTGGCAAATAAAAGATTCAGGGATAGGGAACCTGTCATGTTACTTGATCTACTCTACTTAATATATAGCAGATGATATAAAAAAAAATTACGAACGTCCAACCAATCTAATGACTCAACTTTTTTTGTTAAAATATAAGAGTTTAATGGAACATCGTACGTCTAACATTCCATTATTACATGAAGATTTAAAAAAAAATATAAAATCTTAAAGGTTTTGAATTTAAAATCTGTACATGGATTAGTTGTAGACTTGTTGGGTCTCTGAAACTGGCCCTCATGTGAGTGCTCTACTAGCTAAACAGGTATCTAATCTCAAAGTGACTTCAGAAAATATTGAGCTAGGTCTGCCCAATAAATAAACCCTCAATAGCCAATGAATCATTTTTTTCAAAAAGTGTAAGTACCCCCAGTGGGATCATCTGCACCCCCTCATGGCAAGGGTTGCCTCTTCAGTGCCCTGCTGACAATTCGTTCCCTCTTCAGGGCTCCCTTACTGCATGCACACCAAACTAACAGTCTCACAGGCTCTTCTTTTTCATTTTCCCAGTACAGCAAGCCAAAAGTGAAAACAGAGCAATTACTATGGTGGTCCTGAGCTCTGTCCTCAAGGTAACTCTTCCACAGCCTACTACAAGGCCTCCTGCCTCTGGCGGTTTCAGCACCACACTTCACTTCACCTGACCCGACCCAACCCAACACAGCCCAGCCCTGTTCGCTGCAGCTTCCTCTTCTTAGAGTGGAACCACCGGATCCTACCTTGGTGTGGCTTTCGTATAATCAGTGTTGGCTAGCTCTAGGCTCTTCAGCC